ATTTCGGGCTGGAAAAGTGTCACAACCGAAATGCAAGTTGATCGGCGTGGAATGATGTTGTAACAGTTGTCTCGTCGCGATTCAGTCGCGACGATCAGATCGCGTGAAGTCTGTCCGGGGCCTTAGGAGACTAAATGCGTGCCTTTATTTCTAACCGAATAAAAAAAATACATCATGTGCCCTGAAAGGGAGGCTTTGCGCATTTGCAACAAATCAGCATCTCTAATGCGGTTGATCTATTCGAATAGATCGCTATATTGGTCTAACCAGCGTAATGAACGATAGCGAATGGGGTGCACCGGATGAATCGTTACGGCGGATAAGTCTGACAACTGCTGACTGCTGAGAATTCCAGTGGGCGCAAAGACTGTAACCGTCGCTGCGATCGAAAAAATGAGTTAAGTACCTCCAATACAAAAGAAAAACCGGATATTCTGTAATACAAAAGAAAAACCGACGATCGTGTAAATATTCAGCACCTAAAACGGAAAGCAGAAAACAATAAAGCTGGAAACCAAAGGCGCAATCCCTATGATGTCTTTTTTACAAAATTGCAGGGCAGATGAGCAGGTTCCAAGCCAGCTCGAGTATTCTGACTTCAAGCTGATTTCGCTCAACAATCTAAAAACTATCCGCTTTGACTATATACTGAGAGCAGCTAATCTGAGAATGCGCGCCATTTTTGAACACGTAAATGCAAGCCAAATTTAAAAAAGCTTCAGCTCCCATGAAGCTGACAAAAATAGGAAGCATTGACTTGAATGTTGGGTTTTTTTGGCTTTTGAGGCAGATTTGTGATAAATTTTGTTGAGATTTGTAAGCACGATGATTGTTGTTTCCCAAATCTAACCGTCCCCCTTGCAGACCATAATTCATGGAATACTCAATTTATTCGTTAAACAATCAGACTTTACCCCAAGCTTCAAAAGAGGTTATCCATGGAAAACTTGTGCGCGAAAGGAACAAGAACTTTCCAAAAGGAGGCTAAATGTTCCATATATGTAGAGTGAGGCTGACAGAAAGCCGTTCAGTGATATCAAAACTGTAATCGTCTTGAAAGTGGAGTTCAACGAAAGAGAGATCGATAGCCAGAGAGCGATTCCGTACACAACCATTCCATCAAACAATGAAACATTGCTATTTCAACACTTAGCAAGTGCAGCAACGAAATCGATAAAGGTAGTCGATAAGTAATAGATAATTCTGAAATTCATTGGATCTGTGCTCAGCGTGTCCACATACACCCCTGTGCCAATTCTCAGCCGCTTAGCTTAAAGCTGAAAAATCTCCGCTCCGCGCCGGGACCCATAGTGCGAGCAAATCTCTCGCCGACATAATGGCTACTGGCCTCTCTTCTCGCCATCACTGAGCGCCGTTATATTTTCGCATTCCTTTTTCTGGATTCCTTCAGCAACTGGACCCTCCGTCACGCTGGGGTTAAGGATAGGAGGGACGCAGAAAACTCTGCCGTCGCGCTTGAAAGGATCGAATGTATATTATAGTAAGGATGATGGGGGTATCATGGTGCACCGTTGAACACAAAAATTTGAAATTTTGTAAAATTTTGGTCCCGGGGATTATCCGACGCGCTGATCACGAATCCGATGCTCATTTATCGCCATTCGCCCACATAAGGGGGTTACAGCAGGGATACGGTAGTTGGGCGAAAGTCACGAGATTTGCTGAAACTTGGTACACTGGGGTTATTTGGTACGTCAATTACGAATATTATAGTCATTTTTCGCTACGAGGCCACAAATCGGGATTACAGTAGCTATACGGTAGTTAGGCGAAAATTACTAAATCGAGTAAAAATTGGTATTATGGGGTTTCCTGGCACGCTGACGAATATGGTGTTCATTTTTCACCATTCGCCCATATAGCGCGGTTACGGTAGGGGACGGTAGTTAGTCGGAAATCAAGCAGTTCTGAAACATGGCCGGGGGAGGGTTATGGGGCATGCTGATCTCGATTATGGTATCCATTCTGAACTGCGGGTCCATTTGGAGAGGTTGCGGTAGGCTCAGGGTTACGGTAGGAATTTGGTGGTCAAATCAAAGACATGATAGACTTAAATTCTCTGGCTCACTAACGTCATGGGTTGTGATGGCTACGATCATATGGTTCATTTTTCACTGCAGCATTGTGCAGCGGGGTTACGGTAAAGACACGGTAGATTAGCCAACACAGGATGCAACGAAACATGACTTGGTGGGGTTCCGCACGTTAATCACGAATATCATAGCCGCATGGAAATACTTTTCGTGGAGGGGTTTCGGTGGATTTACGGTAGATGGATCAAAATATCTTGCTTAGAACTTTGTTTGCTAAATACTTAGATACCATGGCGAACGCAGGATTTCCGTCCAGGGGGGGGGGGGGGGCGACGAAAAAGCGACGAAAAAGAGGAGAGGCGACGAAAAAAATTTTCAATTGAAGGTGTCGGTAAATTCCGGAATTTTTTTGGGTGCTTTTCAAGATTTTTGCGGGCCCATAGCCTCTAAGATCTAGGAAACGGGGGCGTGGCGGCACTCCCGTTCCCAAAAAAAATTTTTTGCAAGTCTAGTCTGAATTTTAAAAAACTTTAAAATTATTTTAATTGGAACGTGCGACTCTCTATGAATCTCGGCATGGTGTTGATAATGTAATTGTGTTTCTTAGCCTTGATCCAAGATTGTTAACACTTTATTGGTTGACGTATCGGCAACGCCTTCTTCAGAGCCTGGAATGGACAGTACGGCTTGACTTATTTTAACTGTTTACAGGAAGCAAGCAAATTTCAAAAAATTGCCCCCCCCCCCCTTCGCCCCCTCGGTCCGCACCATTACGTACTATTTCTTTTCCACTGCAGGACTATGGGTTGAGCCAGACTTCGCGGGGAAGCGGCGTACGCGGCGTACGCAGCGTACGCCCGGTATATTTCATCATAGGAGCATACGCGGCGTACGCTGCGTACGTCGCGTACGCCGCGCAGTCTGGCCCAACCCTATGCGATGGGGTTAAGTAGGTGTGTAGTAGGCTGACTGGCTGAACTGCCTAAAATTTCGCGGCGCATTTGGCAGTGCAATCATGGATATTGGCCGTTTCAGAGGGCATTACTACGGTGGGCACATACGGAATAATGGCGGAATTCCTAGGGTTATTTGAACTTTTTTTTAGCAAAGAAGCAATGATATTAGGTAGTATCTTTTGATTTTTTTGAAATTTTCTATGGTCTTCTCAAAAGAAACCTCAAAAAAATTATTTAAAATTTGTTATATTATTCAGAGGCCTTTTGAAATTCTAACTTCGATTTTCAAATAACCTCTGAACTCTGTTTATTACTTGAAGTCTATTCTTCTAAAATTATGGTCAATGTTAAGATTACAATTTATAGATATAGGTCATTCGAAAAAATTTGGATACTAACAGAGACTTTTGAATTTTATCGAGTATAAAGCATATTAAAATAGGTGGGGAGAGGAGGGGGACGGGTTGTTGATTAAGATCTATGCCCTTGTCTAAGATTCTTTAGAATACTTTTTGGCCAGGCATCTCGCAGGCAGGCCTAAATCCTCTCCACGTGTCTTGACATGTAATCTTGATTACGGGGATCTAATGAGCGATTGCTTGCTTACTTCGTAAGAGTGGCGCCGTAGCCTAGTGGTCTAGTAGACACTTCGCGCCGAGAAATGGAAGTTCAACTCCCGACCTAGTCCGAGTGTTTTGCGATGAAGCGTGTAGTAGCTCCTCAACAACCATAGCGGCTCCGCAAGTGGCAGAACGAAATTTCGAGTTTCAGAAACGAAACTCGGATCTGAGTTAATGCGCAGCTTTAAACTCGGAGTTTCGACCAGATTACTACCGGCCCTGGTCTTCACGGGCTGAACATGTCTAAGGGGAATCGAGTCATTTCAAGAAGCTGAGAAGATTTTTATCCATCAGGGGGTGAACTTGAAAAACTCCACACATATTGTACTCACCGCCCACGCTGCCGCTTTGCCGCGCAAACTTCAAAAGCAGTGCCCGGCAGATTCGCGTCTGGTGGGGATATAGCTGTGGTGGGGTTCCTGGTCCCCATCACTAATCTTCAGCCCTAGTCGGCTGGTTGATGTTGCCCTTGTACCGAGAAAATAGGCCCCGAACCGGCGCGTACAACCCCAATCGGCGCGCGCTCGGACGGCTTACCTGTTCCGCGCGGGACCTCACGACCGCTCGCGCATTGTGCATTATACCAAAAAATTGTTGGTGGCAGTGTTTTTGTGCTAGGGCTATCAACTTTTCAATGAAACTCTCGTCCCAGATGCCTTTCAGAAACTGGGCAGGCGCTTCACACGGTATTTCACCGATTCAGAGATTAGATTTGGGCCCTGCGTGTCGAAAAGGCCTAAAACATGCAGAAAGGTGGAAATGCAAAATCTGCCGGGACACTGCCCTTATGCAAAACTATCCGGTGCTGAAGTAGCAAGCGGTAGACTAGGGAGGGGGGGGGGGGGGAGGATGAGGGGAAAATACATGACTCGTTTACGTTCATTATCAGAACTTGCTAGCCAAATTAATTCAGTTGCATTTTTGCTACGACATCTCTCTCAAGACAATCGCTAAATCCGCATACATTTCAAAGTAAATTTTACCTATTAAAAAACAGGTAACTACGGCGTTGGTAAGCTAATGATCGCCTTGTTAAGTAGGTGATGTTTATTCGTTGGACGAAAGCTCATAAGCTTTGTTAAGAGAGGGTTTTGGATGGCACAACTTTGACAAACAATTATTTCCCTCAATCCCTTCAACTTATGTATTTAGGTTTTGGCAAGCCATGTTGGTACATGAAATTTCACATTACACTAAAGCAAGGCTTTGGCTGGCGATACCTTGACCATTCCTTTAAAAGCGGTATTACATCCGACCTTTGTAACCCGAAATCATATCAGTTCTTCCTTTTTTATCACTAAGATAGCGATGCCCTGGACGCGTGAAAAGCCGACTTTGAACAGACGGAAATGCTGACTCATTCTACTATTGCTAAAATTGACTATTCATCTCAATAACGCTGCTCGAATGAAATATATTCTTTACATTATATCGGCTTGGATCATTCCAGCTACTGAAGCTTCAGCGGTAAATTGTATTGCTAAGTAGAGTACAAACAAGCCTAAGTTCCCATTCAGGGAGATTTCGCATTCGCTCTTGATCTTACATCTCCGCTAGACTTGGCTGGAGCAAAATGCATCAAGCAGAGTCTTTATCCCACAGTATTTCTTCGGTATAAGCATTCTTATTTTGAAGTTTTCCAAAAACTCAGGTTTCAGAGGATCTTCACCGTACGAGCAACTGCCGGCTAATATCTGCCAAAGCGTTCGAAATGCAAAGGATGGTAAAAGTATTTGAAAATAACTTTACCGCATTTTACAGCACCAAACGTCTGCTTCTAAGTCTTTTGAAAATTGACTTCACTTTGACATGCGCATGAAATTCTATAACAGATTGAGTACCTGCTTTTCAGTCGGGATTTTTTGTATGGAGACAGTCTCCAACTTCGCTGCGTCATATCACATATTTATTACTCAAGATTTATCATCAATAATTTAAAGATGATATTTTTATAATGCTGCGCTTAAGAATAATTACTTTTCGAATTCTTCAAACTTCGTTTTCACGCTGTATAGTGCTAATGGAGCAAATTAACACATACGAGCTGTAGCTACATGGCGAACTACAATGAATTGTGATTAGCGGCTGTAACATTTCTTTCGTTAAAAATGTGAGAACTTCCTACATTTGTGGAAGAAGTCAGTTTTTCGGCACTTCGGAGTGCAATAATTTGACCATCTATAACCATGCAAGCAGTTTGAGATCAGATGTTTAAGCGTATCAACTGTACATTAAAATTTAGTTGATTTCTTAGCTCGTGTTCTTTGCAAAGTCCACCTCATTTCACACCCAACCCAGGTTAACTTTCTAGATCATGACCTTTCTAGAACAAGAATTTATAAAGGACTGATTGGCAAACCCGGCTCCGCCCGGGCCTGTCAATAATATATTTGTAATCAGCATGCTCGATTACCCCCCTGTGCCAACTCCCAGCCCTGTAGCTCCAATTTTCCAAAAAATCGATAAAATCGATATCGATCGATAACGAAAAGTAGCCTACGAAATCCGCCCTGCCCCGAAGTGTATATGTGCCAAGTTTTGTCCCGATGGGTTCAGAAAGAATTTTCTATTCGGAACATACGTACACACATACAGACAGACAGACAGACAAACAGACATTCAGCTTTATATAGAGATTTTGGACCTACAGCAGAACTTGTTTGGACTTATACAACCCATAAGAAGATCAATTTTTCTAGCCAACTTACTAGTTCTAACCACTAGCATTCTTTTGCTTTACTAAGAAATTCCTAGAATAAAATTCGTCTAACTTTCAAAGCGCTAGCTATGTGATAAAAATGTCGGCAGGTGTCTTTCGAAGGATAATCTTGATCATTTTTTTTGAAGCTGGTCTTCAAGTGGAAGTTTTTATGACCCCCGATCCACTGCAAGAGGAGTCGAAACAACTAGAGAATCTGTACAATACACTGCAAAACTGTGACTTCAATGTTCGAAGCATATGGCTGCAGGTACGAACTTGCATAAAACTTATTTTACAGCATCCATTCCTCTAGTTCAGATTACTTCACCAATTAATTGGCCAGATACTCCCAGAAAGAATGTTGATCTAATCGAACGAATGATTGATAAAGCCAGTGTATGTGTGCTGACAACAAAATTGTAAAATTTTAGCACAAAAAATGGATCTTTTCAGGAGTATGGCATCGCACTTGGAATATACACAAATCATTACGATTGGAAGCAAATTACGGGGGGAAATATTAGCATGGACAAAGCTAAAATGCTCTGGTCAGTTTTACCTAGCAAGATCGGCTGTAACTTGAAAAACAAAAGGAAGATTATGTTAGAACTTTCCGCATGGAACTTTTGCAGGTATTGGAGCGTACCGCGGGTGGGACCAGATGCTGAAGATAATCCAAACTTTGACAATTTTCGCCCATTCGGTCCCTGGAGGACTCCGGCAGCAAAGCAATTTGGGCAGATGGAGCTGATCTGTGGTTACGTAGCTAACAGGTGGGAACCAGAATCTTTCAAGAAATTATCACTGAACCTATTTTTTCAGAAATATCTATAGACCTTCAAAAATTTCGATTGGAATTGGAGCAGGAATACGCCGAGACAACTCACGCGACATTGGTTTTATTGGTTTAAAATAAATGAAATACTCCTTTACTGACAGGAGCATATCATCAGATATTATCTATTTATGAGAATGATTAACAATTTCGACAGTAATTGTTTGATCTACCAAAAAGTATTATAACAGAACATTGGAATTGCAGAATAAATCTGTTCATTGTTTTGAAATGCTGACAATCTCAATGCACTCAATCTTCTAAATCAAAACGTTTCTAAGTCCGTTTGAGCAATTATAAATTTGTCAATCTATCATCCGTTGACTCTTGTACTTGAGAAATAAGCAAAATGTAATATTATATACTCATTATCAGAGGAGATTTCAGTTGAAAGTGACTTAAACAAGAAAAGGATCCTTGGTCGAAGTGCCTATTCCGTTTGGGATATGTATTCTTAGAGGGCGTTAAACGATGAGTTCAATCTGTTTTTTTTTATCTGCAGCTCCTCTGGGTGAGGACCTACGAGTCATTACGTTTTGTGAGTCAAAGAACTGAAGGCTTGATCAGAGTAAAATCAGTGGCAGCCTTACCAACTCGCATGGAAGAATAGCGAGTGCGGGAGGGGGGGAGGGGGGTAGCAAGAAAAATTTTTTATTCACAGAAAGGTTCAACAGTCACCTCTGTTCCATTTGAGTTAACGAGAAATGATTTTCAGTTACGCAGTTTGAATTTCGCTACAAAAGCTCTCATAACTCCTTGTCCAGAGGCGCTCCGCAGATAAGGAAGACCTACCTGGAAACAGCTTTCGATGTCCTTCAAGATGGTTATGCGCCTTTTGTGATAAAATTATCTCGATTAAGGATTCCTTTTTAGTAAGCCATATGAATTGGGAAACCAAGTGCATCTCTAGTGATACCAACCTTTGAATTCCTTGATATACCCTTGTCGGGTACTTTCAAGTATGTAGCAATTCGGAAGCAATGTAGAGCTAGCTAGCTGGTAGATGTTAACTGGCATCTCTTCTATTGAGAATCGGCAGTCTTCCTCAATGACGTTCTTGTAATTCCCATACTAATTCAAGATCGTAAGAGCCTCTGTGCAGGAATACACTTTAGTTATGGAGAGTCCAAAAGAAGCTAAATGTCAAACAGAATTCAACTGATAACGGTGAAATGGAGTGTTAGGTGCGCATTTTTGTAAGATAACCAAGAAAAAGCTATAGTTTGTAGCTTTGGGTAGATTGTCATTGATTATTTACCAGAGGCACTGTCCCATCTACAATTTTCTATTAATTGTCTATTTTATCTCATCATGCTACTAAAATATCTCTTAGTCGGATCTATTTCTGTAATTGGTGTGCCTGTAGTCACAGCTGAGGTAAGTATAAACAATTTACGCACGAAATAGCGTACAGTCATTTCTTGTTACGTAGGTGAGATAGTTATAATTTAGAACATCATAAAATTTTCATAGTGACTTTCGCGGCTTAATGAAGTTAAGAAGAAAAATAGCCGTTTAACAATGCACATGCAATTCACAACTTATTTGTAGGATGACGCAACTTATCTGTGCAAATAATTTTCAGATAAAATGGAGGATATTGCCATGGTTCTCTTACCCTTAGACAATGGCTAATAACTTTCGATTTCTCGTGATTATCTCCTTCTTTTTTGATAAACTCATTTTAATTTCAGCCTTTTACGATGAGCCTGAGTAATCAAATGCAGTAAACTCAAGTTTTTGAGTTCAACCGCGCTAATTCAAAAACCTCAAAGTCACTAAAAGCTTGTCTTTTCACCTCTAATATACTTAACTGAGAAAAGTGAATTTTCAATCATTCTCTCATAGTTAAAATTCCTGAAACAAAATTACAAAGATGCCTTCATTAATTGTTTTGAACGTATTCAGTGATATAAAAATCAACAAAGATACGACTTATTGAAAGGAAACGCTTGGTGATTGCTACGAAAACATAACATACAAATTCTTACGTTATCACCAAAGTTATCGATCGGCCTTTGAGTGATTCAAAATCTCTCTATTATATTAGGTTGGTTCATAATTAATGCACGTTTTCTCAACTTCCACTTCTAATGAAGATAATTTTTTTCCAGTCTTTCTGAGTGTATCAAAGACTGTTGTAAACAACAAACTTCTAGCTATACAAACTTATACTTTGTGTGATTGTATTCACCATGGGAAAGATTTTCCGGCTCAAAAATTACTGAGAAGTTTTTCTGGAAAGCTCTATGAAAGAGCATAACTTACTCTCAAAAGGACTGGAATGGAGCACACCTTGTTCATTGTGTAGCCAATGGTCGATTTGATAGTAGCGTTGAACGAACGAAGGCTTTCATCAAAAATTTTCTGCAAAAAAATATTGCCAAGAAAGCAAAAGTACCATTTTCTCCTGCATTTTAGAGAAGGCAAAAAACTGTATTTTTAAGATTTCTCCAATTTTTTCTCATTCTAAAAACGAGGAGATTCCGCCGTTTCTCTATCATTTAGTCCTTCGTCTACTCCGCCAGGATCAAGTGAAAGTTCTGTAATTGCTTTTCACGTAAGAATTTATAAAGCTCCGAGTGATCTCCCAGCATTCAGCTAAGTTTGAATCAAAGCTTCTCGGCTCAGGATTTTTAAAAAATTTAGCCTTGGTAAGCATTATGTAGCTTAAATCTTTGCGATTACAACACATATTTTTGAAACAAATTTGAGCATTATCATGGATTTAGGGCCAGTCGAATGAAAGGAAAAATTTCAAGTTTGAGTTCCTCACCTTTGAAGGCACGGAACTTCGGTCTAAACAAAGGTCTGCGAAAACAAAAGCGTATTACAGAAAATAGAAGAAACGGGCTTTCCGAAAGTTTAGATGGTTTTAGAGGAAAACGATTTTTGATTGAAAAGAAGAGATAGGAAAAACGTGCATTAATTATGAACCAACCTAATATTTTTTCGAAGATAAGAGTTGGCAGATTTATCGCATCAGTTGCCGAACCGGCTTTCAGAGAAAGACTGGAAAACCTAGCAAACCTGCGATTTCCAAAAATTTTATATTAAGCTTGTTTCAGTTTGTATATGCCGTCGATGTACCAGAGACACAAGTCATAGTACCAATGAGCGAAGCAGTAGCAAAATGCTTGAAAATGTCTCGCTACTCAGCAGTTTTTCTTCGGTAGAGTTTTCCTTTTCCAACGAGTTTTCGTTTAAATAAACCTTTTAGAGCATTCCCTCCAATGTCAACAAAATACTATGATCGAACAATCTGCAATAGCATAGCTAACGCTAAAAAAGGTAGGATACATAGTACAGATATTATCGCTAGTAAACTTACGACAGCAAAACACCATTACTTTTTGCAGTTGGGCTTCATGTTGATCTGTACATGAGTCCTCTCCCTTCGCCACTAGCGTTGAATGCGACGGGAGTCATAGATACTTTCCTCCGAGTTCTGGATGCTTGCCAGGAGACCGCAAACAGAGTTTGGCTCAAGGTATGAGACCCAACTGAATGAAGAGAAGAACGATAAATTTGCATGACGTTGTGCAAAGTTACCCGGATTTCGCGGTAAATGGTAAAAAAGCAGGGACCATTCACGATGTGCCTAGCAATAAAACCATAGAATGCAGATCAATCTTTTTTTTCTGCTAGCTTCTGTAGACAAAGTTAGGAGCCACTAAGATGCAAAGGAAAAATTTACGTAAAGTGCCCATTTTGATTGCTGTCTCTATAAGAATTTGAATATTTAGGACATACACGATTTGAACTCCTTCCTTTTAGGTGACCAATTCTTTGATGTGGGGAGTAGACCGAGAGCGTAGCGTTGCCTTCATCAACAATATCACACGGGAAGGTGAGGTAAGAATGTCAAAATATGTGAGTACTGCTAGACATGCATTGCAAATAATAAACATACAACATCGTCGTCAATCTCCTGGAGATATTTTATAGTCAACAAGATAAAGCTAGACGATTTGTGGTTTACGTAATGTAGAATCGGATAGATCATAACGTAAAAAAAAGGGGAACCTCCCTTGCGTTTGAAGCATCTTACAATACCGCTCACATTTTTTGAAAAATAGACGCGAATGTATGGACATGTATGGACATGTATGGACATGTCCATACATTGTCCATACATCACAATAGACGCGAATGTATGGACATGTATGGACATGTCCGTACATGTCCATACATGTCCATACATTCGCGTCTATTTTTCAAAAAATGTGAGCGGTATTGTATAATACTTAAAAATAAAGTGGAGCTAAACTGAATGCAAATCACAACAAAGCAATGCCGCCAAGCTGCTACATTTATGGCGCACAGCACACATTCATTCTTGAGGAAGTTATTAGAGTCTTTAGATTTCCTAAGTATGAGAGTTCCACGAATGATACGCAAAAATAGAGTTCATTGACTGATTATAAAAGTCATCGAAACACTGAGGGAGCAAGAAGAAGATAAAATTGGTAGAATCTTGGTAAGTATTATAGATACAGTCTTTTTTAACCCAGAGTAGGCGAAACATTCCAAGTAGAGCAGCGCGTCCGCACCACCACTGCTAGCGAGATAGGTTAGAATGAAGAGACGCAGACTGCAAAGCAGCGCGAATCGCTGCGAAGCGGACTCCCGCCAGTCCAATTTCTGCCTAAATTGAGTTGAAACCTACTATACATGTGGATGGACATGCAGATTGGCACTGTATCTGAATCAATGAATCGTGTAGGAAAGCTTGTCACTAGACAGCAGAAAATCTATCTAATAAAGCTGAATGTCTATCATAGTGTACTGACAGGGCTGGGCGGAGCCGAATAATTATGGATATAGATAAATGCACAAAGGAAGGAGGTCCGCTTGAAACAAAAGCTCCAGCTTTACCCAGTTCAAATGGAGCTGAGAAATGAGACTCTTCTTTGTCTAAGCTTTTCCACCCCGTCGGTGTTTCTTCTCTCGCTAGACTCTAGATATAGCGAAGGAATACTTGCTCTGATGCCTACCTCCTTGATTCTAACACTCCAAGATTACTCTGCAGTTGTATTGTTACTCATCCAGCGTGCTTCTGATGCTTTCTTCTGCATAGTCCCTCACTAAGGTCTAGTTTGGCTAGTTTTCTGTTCTATTCGTTCTCATAAAACCACAACAAGCGTGAATCTGCTTACACAGCGGACCTCAAGTAGCCATCGTTGTTTGTCTGCTCGAGCATCACTAGGACGAATATTGCCCCGAAACATTGGTTCTTTAGCGTTTGAAGTTATTGGCTCTACAGTTGTTGTTGACGAAAATTCTGAGGTGTTCCTTCACTCTGCGTTGAGAAGACTTTCTTTGTTGCTTGTTCGTTAGCTCTTATCGTTGCTTCAAAGAAAAAATCCTATAACGTTTTCTATATTGCTGTTGTATCAATGTTAGACGGACGGTCCCGATTCTTCCTGTAGCTTATACTAGTAGAGGTGTCATTTCGTGCACAAGCAGTTATGCGACTTATTCTCTTAACTATTCATCCAAAGATTGGGGTCCGATTACTCCCAAGCCTGAAGCTATTTGCAAATACCACTTATGCCACCTAACAATGAATGGAATACTTCATTATTCCGGGCAGGAGATTTCGCGGCATCAACTTCCGAGAAACTCGCTTTTGATCAAAGTGGCTTTTTCTCTAGAGCTTTGTAACATTGTAGAAAATCAGACGCTAAATCCAAATCTGTCTTTGGTATCTGCTGCGCGTCTCTGGACGCCGAGTTATGCGTTTTTTGGATCAAAAAGTGTAGTATACCTAATTTGAATAAAATCCGTAGTTACGGTGTTTCCAGTGCTCAAATAAAGCAGCGGCGAGTGTGAGTATACTAGTAAGTATACATCGCATGAAGTGCTCTAATACCCCAACAATGGCAGCACAACTGATGGTATTTGAATGATTTTGTTTTAGTTACGCATTTATTACTTTCGATCACAACTCTATTCCAGAGAAGCATAGCAGATACCGAAGACAGCTTGGGAATCGGATTCTAATGCTCTTCAAAACCATATAGATTTTATCTGCAGAAACCGCTTTGAGTGAAATGCTTTTCTTCTTAAAATGAAGGCATTTTGAAAAAGTTGGTCTCAGCTCGATTTTAGCTCAGCATCAGTAGAGTATATAAGGCATAGAGATTCATCGGAGGTGGTTTCTGCCATTCCCATTTTATGTTTTGGCCGTCTTGATTTCATTGAAGTGCCTTTTTCACAATTCATAAGAATATGAATAAACGACAGTAGTCGACACATGGTCAAACATTTTTTAGGCCCATGGTATTGATATTGGAATTTACACAAATGAAAAAGATTGGAATACCATCACTAATTACACGGATACACTAGATTTTGAGCCAAAATTGCTGTGGTCAGTCATTCAGTATTTAAGACAACAATTTGATTTTAGTAAACTATGGCGAGTTTTTAGGTATTACAATGTGAGAAACAACGGAATTGATGGCGAAACATCAATGAATTTCCAAGATTTTGAAGAGTTTGGACCATTTAGCAATAACATCGGGCAGGGCAAGCAGTTGGTCAAGGTCAAGCAATTTGGGTATAGCGTATCTGTTTGTGGAATGTCAGTTGGCAGGTATATTTAATGTGGAATCTCAAGATAGAGTTAATAAGAGAGACTGCTAAATCTGTTTTTCAGGGACACCTTTGAGAAAGGGAGTTTGGAAAACAAAGTATCTGCTCCTGTAGCCAGTAACCACAAAAAATCAGAGCGAGATGAGCTTACTGCGAGGCTATTGCTTGCTTAACGAAGAATCCAGTTGCTGAGAATGTGACCAAATAAGAAACATCTTTTGGTTTTTTTATTATAATTGACATTTCCATAGTTCAGTGCAAAAATGCTGAAGGTTTCTCGTGCTTCTGATCTGATAATAAAAATGCGTGTGCTTTGCTGTCGAAATGGCTTTCCAATCTGAATTGCTGTTGTTTGAAATTAGGGCTTAAGAAATTATGTAGTAACGGTTTTATTTTCCTTTCTTCTTTGAGATTCGTTTTTACTATATAATAACCATTGTTTGGAAATTCCGAACTACTGCAGGTGTGCTTCATGTCAATAAGTAACAAGCATAGAATTAAATACAGCATTTGAGCATCAATGAGATTTGGAAATCAACGTTAATATAAATCAAAATCAATTAATATAAATCAAAAAGAAACAACTCCAGTAATTAATATAAATCAAAAAGAAACAACTCCAGTAACAACATATCTCCTTTGAGATGATCGATTTTTCCACCTTTACTTTGTAAGCAACATCGTATATATACCAGAGCCCATATTACTATGGGGCACGGGATTCGATTCTGTTATCCGAATAAGCAATTCCTGGTCACCGATTATACAGTCGTATGGAATAACAAATGCTAATATGATAGTGACCAGCAGCGCAAAAACACTGACCGCTGTCGAAATATCATTTTCAGCACTTTTCTGTTTCCGGATGATGTCAGGAACGACTTTGTAGCTTTTTAGATCAGTGTACCTTTGTTCTTCAATCTATAAAACGTGTATTTTGATGGTCCAATTTGGATCGAAAAAATAGATTTCTGAGTGATTACAAACACTTTGCGTCAATAACAAATTGTCTTAATGACAAACCCTGTTATTGAATTTCTAAACGAAAATCTAAAGTTTAGATGATTTCTTCAAGACACAGAAATCTTTGGAACTATTGCAGGTGAATCACAGTGTTGCTTTGGAGCTTACATGCTGAAACTGCTTCAACTTTTCTTTCTCATTTATGCTCTAGAGCTAAGCATACAGGTATGACTTTAAGCATCGGCTGTTCCAGTCTTTGCGTCCTTTGTTGTTACTAGATTCTTCATTTTATTTTAAGTAATCTTCTTTTACCAGGGCTCGGCACAGGTGGCTTACAAGCAAGCTGGATATCGTTTTCGGGACGAAAACAAAATTAACAACATAAAATTTGCAACGTTCTTTTTAGTCGACGTTTCGTTTTTTGGAGATTTTGCAGGGATTATGGTCTAGGCTCAAAGGGTACTTCGTAAAAATTCCCAGAGGTCAAGGGGGACTTCGTGTTTTGCATTTTCGACTAGCCACCTCGTGCCGAGCCCTGTCTCTTACGCCTTCATATTAGTACTTTCTTAGAAGCATGTTTCCGACGACGAAGTCATTTTGGATTTTCCTTTGCAATCACCTCAGGAAGAGGTCGTCTCTTTCAACGAAGGCTTGAACAGGCCATCAATCACCAATGTAAAGTGTATCACTTCCTTCAAAATTTGTACAAATTCTTAGAGGATTGTGCTTTTCCAGATATCACAAAGCTGCCAGGGAAAAGGAGACACGGTTGCTTGCTTTTTTGCAGACTCAGTAAAGAGGGTAAGTAGATGCATCAGTTTTACCTCCATAACAAATTCATTTTCAGATATCTGAGACTTTAGATTTTTACTACAAAAAGTTGCGAGAGATATTCGGTTGGGGTGGGCCTGGAGAACAACAAGGAGCCAATGCCAATAATTCCACTGGAGCAGTAAAAAATCGTGAGATCTTGAAGCTGGACGAAGGACTCCTGGAAATTGAACCAGGTCATCAAAAGCTAAGACTGGAGACGGAAACTATGCACAGAAGGAGGAAGATGGATGACGATGGTGTGATCGAGCCAGCTGAGAAATACAATTCGAAAAAATTTATGGAGAAATTTGAATTGCTCAGGCAACAGTTGGGAGAAGGGCGCGATGGAGATGTTGTTATAGATTGACGTCAATCACAGCCGATGCTTTCGTCATTATGTCTTTCGATATCACTCGTCAAAATCTTCTATTAACTTGTTGTATGCCCAATTATTTATCCTCGTCTCACATAAGCCTTTCACCATTCAGTAGGAGTCTTGTTTATTTGTATGCCGATTGATTTTTGCAATTGTAGTACGTAATAGCACTCACTACTAATTTTCCAATGATAGAACAGTCTATAATCTACCAATTTTATAAATGTAATATATTTTTCTAACTCCCAGAAATATAATAATACAAAGAGCAGTTTGATAGTAGAGTTTTTGACCTACGAAAAAAATGCACCGCTACTAGAGTAGTCGTAAGATGACTGGAAAAAAAGGAAATATTTTCAATTGAAGGGAGTTTCTTGGTGATCATAAAAGGTTTTATAAAGGCACATACGTCATTACGACCTGAAAGTGATCGCAAAAATAGTCAAGAACTTTGTCTCGTGGTGGGCTTTACAAGAATTTATGCGCTCTGGAAATGTTACGTAAATGCTGAATATTTGTTTTTAAAGAATCAAATTATAAGAAAAAGAACTTGATGCTGTTCATGCAGAGCAATCTTGAAGCATGTCATCTCCTTTTTTGTGGAGATTTGGCTCGGTTATAGTTAAAGACATTTGTATTCGTTGAGTCTTTGAGATATTACAGTTTTCTCCAAGAAAATGTCTACTCTATTTCTGCATTTTTCGATGTTTTTTTGCCTTATGGTAACATCTGTTCGTTCTTCGTTCGCATATGTTCTACGTTCTCTTGTATTTGCGCTAATGTAGAACGTCACAAAACACAAAAGCCTTTTAGAACACATAAAAGTGGTAATGGTATAGTGATAAGGATAAACAATTGAGCTTTTATATATCATTCGTAATTATCCATGAGTAAACTTCTAACATCGAATGTCCTGGAAATTTCCAAGTTTACTTCCAGGCAGTATCTGGGCAAGACTGAGATTTTTGTAGTGATTGTAAAGTTAAATTCAGAACTGATTGTAGCTCTTTATGTCCGTAATCCCCTCGAGTTGAATCTTATGTCGAATTAGATTGTTTGCTACACTCGCCGTTTATAACAGGGGAAAATTACGAGAGGCTCATCACCTTATCTTTCGTAGCGTAAACAACATGTGGTCACCGTGATAATGAAAACGTTTCCTGGTCACAGCAGCTCTCCTATTACAGTACCTCCTTGAGCACGAAAAAATTACCTCTCTTTATTCTATAGAGCATTAGATGAAAAGCAAAGAACAGTGTAGGACAAGCGTTCTTTGGTAGCAAATTACCCTTACCTGAAAATCCGTTGTGCGCCTTCCAGAAACTTCTTGATGTAAGACACTGCCAAGTATTTGTTCTCAGTCTGCAATGGACTGAGTGGATGTACTAGAGAAAGTAATTATAAGAGTATGTAATTTATCGCAGATCTCCAGTGGCACGTATAGTTTCTATAGAGATATTCAAAAGTTCCAAATAAACTGTGTGTATCAGAAACTGAGATCTTAAACTGTTTGCCAAGGGCCCTTTCATGAAGTCTACAACAACTGAAGCGGAAAAACGCTACCGCTTTTCGCTGACAACTTTACAAGCACTATAGTCGACAAGAATAGCGCAAAATTTCCTATGAATCATTGCCGTGGACGTAGTTTTAGCGTATAATCCGTGCAAAAGCGCACGCGGAAGAGGAGGCGGAAGAGAAAACGATGAGAAATTTGCTCGGCTTCGCTACCTCGGCAAACACCATTCTACGGCCACGTCTTATCAGTTACGACTTATCGATATTCAACCACCTTTGACATTTCACGTTTCTTTCACAGCTCTTCTATCTGTTGATGTTTTATGAACAGTTTTTCCTCTAATGGGGCTATAAAGGGCCGTAAAGGAAACTTTGTTTGAATTGCAGGGCAAGAAAAATCGTAAAGGGTCGGGCATACTTCACGCGATTTCACTCACGACGCGATTTGGCAATATTCCAACTGTCCATAACTCATTGTAAGCACATTTTAAATGTGCAGAAGATAGGGCATTTTATCAATCCACGTAATTTATACACACTATGCATGTGCAGTTCGCTAGGTTGGTTCTGAAAACTTCTGGCGAGTTGCCAAATCATGTCAAGACTGAAATCGAGTATGCTCGGCCCTTAAAGATCACCCCCGCTCTGTGACTTAAAATGCGCCAAAAGGAATTTTAGCACATGAAGAGAGATGGATTGACATCAGTATAGTCTATATTGGCCTTGACTCTCAGTACTGTTCTAGTTTAATACTAGCTTGGCCCTCCACCCTCCCCCCCCCCCTCCCGACTCTCTGTTTTCTCACTCCCATAAACGATACACAAGTCTTTTTTTAAGCATAAAATAGACTATAGGCCCTGGCGATCGTTGCCACTTCGACAATAGAAAATCGTTGCTAATCGTTTACACTATGACTAACAGGCATGTGCAATGTGCATGCTACGTAGAAGTATTATAGAATGAGAAGTGAGGGGGGGGGGGGGGGCTAAATCCTTGGCTATCCTGTTCCTCTTATTCAAAAATTGTTCGAATAAATTATTGTTCCAACGCCTCACTATCGTCTGTAGCTCAGCTAGAGCCTATTGTTTACGTCGGTTTCTGTTTTCCTTTTGACTTAATTTTCATGAAAGAGAGGAAAGAATCTAGTCCTTTTGAAAGAACTAGAATTCCAGTAAAGTTTATTTAGTCTGATCTTTGTAGAGACAGTAAGCTAGGCTGATCACAAATATGTGTTTATTGCCTCAAAAACAAATTTTCTGTTCTGTCGAGATCTTCCGAAACAATCAGCTCAGTCTTGAAATATTATATATATATATATTTATATATTTATATATACTATCTGTTCTTCATTTATAAGAAACCTTTAAAAGAAATTAATCTGTTCAATGTCCAAAAATAAGTGTTTATATTTCTCATCTTTGAAGCAGTTAGAATCAAATCGTTATAGTTATTTTTCGGATTTCATGGCTTCCTGCCAAAAAGCTCATTTTTTTCACATATATGCGTTCATGATTTGAATTCTCCTAACGTGAAAATTACACATTCGCTTTGTAGACCAATTTAATTTTTTCGATATATAAAAATTCATAACGGCAGCAAACTCCAATTTCTATGCTGGATTTTTCTCATCTTCAGCTAAACTATTTTCAAAAAGCCTTGAAACATTTGTGGTCCATCCTATGCAAAATACCTTATATGGAATATAGATGTAGCTGGATCTTCTCCTCTGAAAACGACTCAGAATCACTTTTCCTCATGGTCTTTCGACCACCACAATCGTTGATCTCAGATTTATCATCTGTCACAATGAAATGTCCACGGCCCCCAACGCATCATGAACCGTGACATTGTGCAAATAACCACTTGCATAATCCGAGCTTAAAACGCCCTTGAAAACCACTTGACTGGTTTTCCAACTGAACGCTTTTCCGTGCTACCTCGCGAGACCACTCTAACTGGTACTTTCTATTTTCTTCGCTGAATTCTGTAAAAATATCAAGTTGGCCGAAAAATAAGTTCGTTTTGGCATGAAATCTTCATGAAAAAATTAATTTTCTTGTTGTTTTCTACCAGAGATTTCTTGTGGGGTAGTAGTATGAAGCTTTCTCTATCACATATCAAATATTTAGGGTTCTCTACCGTCATGGCCAAATTTCCAAAAGCTCAATTCCTTAACTTCCTAAACTTCGTTTTCATGTTGTAATAGATGTAGAGAACAGCAGTTTGGTAGGATACATAGGAGCTTTCCTCTTTGATGAATAGCGATGAAAATTATGATTTGCATCTTCGAAAATCTTTTATAAAATAATCAACTTTCCTCATATTAGCGCATTGTGAGAAAATTGGGGTTTTTTCCTTTCTTTGCGGATTTCTTTGGAAGATAGGCTCTACTCAAACAGAATTTATATCCCAATTCCCACTTAAGTGCTCTTTTCATAGATACCAAACGCTGGACAAAAACTTATTTGCAGCGTTTGAGAGCCGCAAAAGCGACCGAACTTATTTATTAGCCAACCTAATATTAGGTGGTGATATGGTTTCTTCTTTTGCTTTGCCTCCTCTTCTTTTTTTCAAATAGTATAGCTAGAAGGTTGCTCTGGACTTGATTGTGAGAGACATGGAAGCTGCTAACATTCATCATTAGCATTCAATCTCCAAGCTATTTCAGCTTGAATAAACATATCCCCCTCCCCCCATCCCTTCTCTATCTCCTCGATCCCTTCTCCACTTACCAAATCTGATAATTCTGCTATGTCCCAGAAATATGAACTTCCATCTCTCAGTTATGCACTTCCTACAGCACTTATCACTTTATAACCTCCAATTCAGCAAAATCTATTATTTCAACAAATTTTAAATCTGAATATTCATATGCTTTATTTTTCAGTGAAGCCCGGTCCGCCAGGCTTCGTTGCTCTCTTCACCATACCCCCTCCAGCCAAGTCTCCTATGGTCAAAAAAGTGCATTTTCAATATCCGGAGAAGGTGGTGTTAGAGCAAAGAAATGATGAGGATTTTTGTTGCCGAGTCACTTATAAAGTAAGTACTTTTCGTCTTCTCTGCTTTTTTGTGGCAGTTGTTTGGTTTCAATTCGCTTTTCATTCAAGTAAGATAATCAGTGCTGTTAAACTCCAAATTTCAGGCCGCTTCAGGAGTGGTAATAGTCTTGGAAGGATTATATTTACTGTATTATATTCTACTTCTAGTATTCGCCATCGTAAACCATCGACAAGCATGTGAGTTCAATACTTTTTTTCCTTTCTTTTTTCTTTGAAAAAGCGGTATCACTGTCTTGCAAACACGAAGATCATAAACCAAATTTTGAAGTTTGCATCAAATGTTCGAAAATGATTTGATCTCAATGAGATTCCGGTTGGGTAACTTAGGTATACTGATACTGTCCGCTGGAGTGGATATCCCATTGCACCTTTTCTTTTCCGGCTAGAAAATGTCCGCGCCGATTTAGCTTCATAAAAAAATATGTATTAGGTTGTCCCGATTCTGTCGTTTCATTTTTGAAAATTGTCACTTTTCGCTATTTTGATTCCTCGTTTTTTTATTTGAAAAACGTCTTTCTTTTTGGATCATATTTTGATGAACTTCTACTATGCTCTCATTCCAGAGATAAAAATGGGAAAAGAAGACCATCTAAGTTTTGATCATTCCAGGTTAGGTCGCCAAAAATCTGGAATGCTGCAGAAAATTCTGGAATTGTCAGTACATAAGTTTCGTAACCTATTCTTTGTAAATGAGAAAAATTACGCTGTTTGGACGTGTCCGTAAAAAGTTATGATTTTTCGAAAAGTACCAAATCAATTAATTTGGCATTTTCTTCTGTAAATTCGAGATTCATAACTTCTTGCAAAGAACTCCAAACAGCACAAACCTTTTTTGTTGTAAAGTGTAGGTCCTAAAACCCATGTACTGGCGAATTTTTCTGCATAGCTTCAGACTTTTGGCAACCTAACTTGAAATAGTCAAAGCCTGAAGCTCTTCGTTTTCTATTCCTATCTTCCTATCTATGCAATGGCTGCACAGTACAAGGTCGTCACGACATATTTGAGAGAAGAAAAAACATCTTCTTTCTATTAAAATTAAAAAGGAACAAATCCATTGAGACAGCGAAAGGTTACAGATTTTCGAAAATAAAGCGACAGAATTTTTGGGACAACCGAATAGATTTGTATGTACTCGTTGCTCACCATCTAAGATATCACTGTTCTGAGTAGTCAAAGCAAACAAGTAGACATAAAATGAGATATACATTTGCAGATCAATATTAAGCTAAGTTGATCAAATTTGTCCCCTGTCGCTGACTCTGAACATATTTCTAACTTCCTATCGCAAAAGTTGATTTCTAAATATTTTGTAGCAATTTCTGCGTATTTTCCCTTATCTTTGTGACCAAGAGGGCAGAATAGGCGCCGCTTAGACAAAACCAATGAACACAGTAGGACAAAAGCTTACTATCAATGAACGCATTTTGTTCTCCGAACTGTTGCGAAAAGTACAAATAATTCGGTTATAATCACGTAAATGAGAATATAAATTGCAGGGAGTGTCGTAATACTCAGTGTTAATCTGTTTCTACTAATATTACAAGTGTTCATTGCTGCAGTAGGAGTTTGGAAGGAGAAGCCGCAGTTGCTTCAATCACACTTGATCTTTTTGGTAAGTTGATTTTACTTTCGATGGATTCTTAAACGAAAATTCATTTTTCAGTGCCTCACTCTCATATGGGACCTAATAATGACAACTGCATTCTTTATCCTAGCTGTATATCCTAGCGCTAAAGAGAACAAGCTTATCAACTACAGAGGAGCAGAGTTCAATGGTGTGAGCATAACAATTGTCACGTAAGGGTAAACAAAAATTCAATAGTTGTACTTTTAGCCCGGATTTTCGGTATCGTGATGGGAAGTGCAATGGTGTTTTTCTTCGTGATACGGATTATAACGGCATGGATTATTTGGAAGTATTGGAGTCTGCTGCGATTAAAGAAAAGGCGGTCACCCGGAAGCAAATACTTCGCTGTACCAACTGATCTATGAATTTGAAATTATTCCTGATAATTGAATAAGATTGTAAATATTTTAAAAATGTGTAGGAGCTAGTGATATCCAGGTGAATAAGAAAATCAATTGTTAAGTCCAGATGAAGACGATGTCTGTATAAGCAAAGCGCACGCGTGAGCAGCGCGCGGAAGAATGTCGCGCTCCAACAATACTAGTTGCTCTATCGTCGTGTTCGCCTCCATGTGGGGTTAAACATACACTAGATTCACCTCCTTCCAGGGCACATTAACAGGGGTTAGAAAAATGCTGCATGGTTTGTTCAAAAAGAACAAGTTGTTACAGCTATTATACTGCAATCAAGTCAAAAAAACAAGCATGCCCGTGAACGGCCGACACGCGCAAATCGATATTTAGCCTATATGTACCCTGACTCACGACTCAAAGGCAGCAGCACGCGTCGCAACGCCTGAATTCTGCTCATTTGAGTGCGGCCATCGTTTCTTATTGAATTGAGCAATGATATATTTCGTAAGTTTTATGAATCGACTTAGGCAAGCAAGCAATATAGTACAATATGAACAAATGTAGTCAATCATATACAGTGTCAAATCGAAATACAGTGTACGATATTTACAAGATTTTCGAGACTACACGGACAAGATGAACATCACCAGGTGTGGCATAATGGCTAAAAAATGTTTGGGCAAATAAGGAAATGGGAAAAGATGCCCGACATTAGTAGCGACGATTACTCGCGTTGAACCAGTTCAGACTGCTGAGCGCATGGCGACTTTCGACCGAGCGAGCGATGCGAGCGACATTCTGATTGCCAACGGTACGAGCTAGGGCACGATCCACATCGCTACGCTGATTGATCGCTTCGATTGGCATGCTGCAAATCAATAAATCAATATTCCCCAGCATTGGCAATTTTTTGGACAATGTTTGTTCAAAAGTCGACCTACCTCACATTCAAATCAGCCAGTCTTCTATTCGACGCTTGTGAAATTGCATACGGATTACGGTAATTAGGAAGCTGTTGATCATAGCTAGAGTGCATACTCTCCTAAATTCTGCTGTAAGCTCTCAAAATTTTCAGGGCAAAAAATATCATACCCTAAGGGAGGCATTTTCATGTGCTAGCATTTGCTGCGCTAGTATAGCTGGATTAGTGATTTTATGGATGAATTGACATCTGAAAATAAAATAACTCTGAAAATTCGAAGAGAGAAAAAAATTCGTGAACTTGCCTCGCTCCGTATTTACAGTACCCAGTGCTAGAAAATTTATCGCAAAGAACCGTTTTGTACTTTGGATGATTGCGACCACGAGGCTGTAAAACATTTTTATTTTAATCTTCATCTTGGTTAAGGCTAAACATACTTGAGACGGCAGACGTAACTCGTCCACTCCATGCGCAAAACGACAATCTTTACCGTAACTGCAGGTTTGTGTACGGCGCCACGATTCACATAGAGCAGTTTTGTAGGCGTCTTCCTGGGATTACGGTAGGGTTACGGTAAGTTGAAAGGTACGAAAGAACTATGGGTCGATTGCGAGCTCAAGATTCTTATCCCTACCCAACTGTAGCTTCTTCATAGCAGTAACAAAATGTAAAATTTCTAGGAATCTTTTCATTCCTTCTTCTTTTTCCTAAACTGAAAAAAAGCTCAAAACTTACGCTAATTGAAAGCGAAACAAGCCCTCTCGCTGCACCTACCGTAACTTACAGTTTTCAAAATAACACGAGGCAATACCTTTCTTTTCTGTCTCAACAGTTCTTCCCTCTCATCATCCGCCAAAGTGCATGGATCCTGAGCAGCTAGAGCTGATTTCACACAACTACTCAATTGCTCGCGTAAGTACGCATCTTGAGCAGTGAGATTACGTAGAAGGTTCTAGAAAACGAGAAGTTAGACGCAATGTAGTACAATTTATATTGTGACATATGAAAGATATGAAAGATGTCTTACCACATCGAAACCCATCAGATCGGGAGGACAAGTAGTATTATGTTTTTCATCTACTTCATACATCGAATAGTCGTTGAGATTTGTTTTCATCAGCTTAGCCGCAGTGTTATCAACTTCGTTACTATCGTTGAGCCTGGTAGTGTGAATTTCGGGCAGACGGTCGGACATCTTTCTGGATATCATGAATGGTGACGAGGGAACTAATCAGAATCATTTTACAGTAGCTTATCATGAGCAGAATGTGAATGTGTGAAGAGTGAAGAGTGTGGAGAAGACACTCGATTAAAAAGTGAGCAAGAATCTCGAACATCTGCACAAGAAAGAAAACCACAAATAATGTTTTATGCACAACGGTTTCCTAGAAATTTCGCGCCAAAGACCCCCTATCGATGCAGTCACAACTCCAGTTGATCAAGAATCTTGTTCAGAAAAGAGCTCTTATCCCCTTAGTGTTCGGAGATCTTTTTTTTTTTCGAAAACGAAAACATTTGAATTTTGCCATTCACTCGTTTTGAAATTTGTGCTGTTCTCTACGCTTTCATTATTGTGAGATCTTTATTTACTGATGATTTCCGAACAATAGTTTGATGCATAAGTTTTGCAACAAAAAGAAAATATTGCTATAAATTTGCGCAAAAACGTACTAAACTGAATGATTTACTCAACTATATGATGTTATTGAAACTTTCAAACGACCAATACCAAAAAGCTGAAAAACAAGAAATTATTTACAAATATATAAAAACATAACCAGCATAGATCACCCGTATAAAAGAGATCATGAAACAAACAAAGCTATTATTGGATTTCAGTAGGTGCTGTAATGTTAGCGAACAGAATTCCAAATGACCATTTTTTACTAGTTTTTTCAATCTTGTATCGTTGCCATGTAGAAAATTACCCGAGAACTCTTGGGAACCAAGGGATTTTTTCTGCTTATTTATCAAATCAAACGAGATCATTGTAGTTAAAGAAAATCAAGCTGCTCCAAAAAATTCACTGCAAAATTTATTCATCAACCCAAAATTGTCCCAGTTTCACTTTGCAGGCAACCGCGACCCAGCTGCGAGATTCAGTTCCTGAATTGTCTCATCCTCTTATTATTCATCTAAGTGGCAATGGAAGTTTTATTGGCTGGCTTTTGGGAAATAATGCGATTAATATGGTTGGTTTTCTTCTCTGCAGCTGCTTTACAAACTTCATAATTTTTTAAACTTGCTCTTCTCCAGTTTTTTGGACGGTCTACCTTTTACAACCACGCTTGGTAATAAATCTAACATTTCTCTTACAAAGGCCTTGGCTGTGTACAGACCAGTTCTTTTGTAGATATCAGATAATCCCGTTCATGAGGTATCGTAATTTCAATTCCCTCACTTGTTTGCTTTTTGGCTTCCCCATCGATTCTGAAGAAAGCGGAGAAGTCGCAGATAGTAATTTGACGCACTGTGTTTACAGTAAGTAATTAATAAGTTTGGTGAGCATTGATGGAGCCCACCCTTCTGGGCGTTTATTTTATTCCCACTAAAACAAACAAAATTTCCTTGTTTACAAATCCCATAAATGTGGTCGAAATGGGTGATTCATTTTCTACTCGGCTCGACTGAGCAAAGGTCATCTATTTGCGATGGCAGCGAGGGTAATCCAAGATGGAGTCAATGAACTCGTGAAAACTACCATATTGGAAGTGGAAAAGGTGCAACTTCGTTTCTTCTGCTACGATGAGCTGACGAGCTGACGATGAGCTCATGCCTGTTTAGGTTTTGAGACACTTACCACAAAAGGGTGACAAAGTCGATGTGATCACAGCATCTGGACGCAATGAGTACAATCAAGAAGATGGGGCCATAAGGCAACAAGTAAGTGACTCTGTAAACCATCATAAAGATTAGAATTTTTGAAAAATTGAAGCTAAGTGTAAACCAGAGCAGTTCACTTTCTGGCGTGCACGACTAAAATAATTAAATTCGATTTTTGTGAATAACTTGTCATCACAATGTTCCCGATGTGACAGTTAGTTTCGTACAGGCCGAGTATAGTCCTCTGAGAGTCAAAATGCAGGAATAGGCCAAAATCAGAACTTGCTCAAAAGAGTTAAACAACCGTTAGTACAGGCAACTCAACGCACGCAGAGACAGGACGTCACTGCGGACATTGTCGACGTCTCTTAAATTGAACGCACTACTCCAAAAGTCTGCCTCTCACAAACACGTGCTATCTCCAACACCATCCAATTTCTGCGTGCGATCTCTGCCTATAATATGGCTGCACGCAGAACTCAAGAAATAATTTTAGAAAAATTTATCGGAGCTGATTATCGACCAGCAGACGATGTCAAGCTGTTCGTAAGTTTTGCTTATCTACATCTGATAAAAGGGATTTTAGCGGGTTGAAAATGTCTTTAAGTGTGGATCGTTATGGAGAATCTCGAGGTCTACCCAAGGCCGCCGCTCACATTCTGTCTGATTCGGTACGCAAAATGGACAAGAACGGAAAAATTAATGAGTAACTGAGCTTCTCAACACTCATACAAGTTGTCGACTCCTCTTCAAAGCTGCTTACAAATCAGAAAATTTTTATTTCAAAACTTCAAAAAAACTGGCATCTTTTTTCATCGAAAACAGGGAATAATTCGTTGAACAGAAGTTCTTACAGCTAGATATCTGAAAGTGAAGAACTGCCAGTTTTTCTAGTATTTCTTTTTCACTTCGATAATAAAAAAGCTTCGCTGGCTTCTTGATATGGTTTACAATTTTTCTGTAAAACAAGTGTTGACAAAGCATTTCTCTTATTGAGACAAAGATAATAATTTTTAGATTCGCGTCACACATATGGAAAACATGGATGGCATGAACATCGACATGACATTACGCTTGAAAAGAGAACATTCGAGCCAAGTGCAGTTGGTGGATATTCGCATCGAATGCCCTGATTTTAAACCAAAACGAATGCGAATTGGCGGTCGTTGGTATAACATAGACTTGTAAATAGACAGTGTAAAGAACGAACTCTTTTGCATCTTACTTCTTGATATCGCACATTTTTATTGCTGGCTTACGAAGGCTTAATAAACATAAGGATGTGGGTAAAAAAACCATGTGCATAACCACAATCTCAAAATCGAAACATAAAATTAGTACTTAAGCGCTTTATCTTCTCTCGTTGAAATGGGAGAAGTCCGTTTTGCTCTGCAGTACCCAACCACACTGCGAGACTTGTCTTAACCAGGGTAAAGCGGGGGGTGCGGCACGCCGCAGAGGGGGGGTCGTATTGAGGAGTCAAAAGGGGAGGGGGTCGTAGTTAGGTGATCTGATTATAGCGATAACATGATATTCGTATCATATCCATAATTAGCACGTCAATTAACCCCTGTAGACAAAGTGTGAGCGAATTCTGAAGATTCAAGATACTAGGCTACCTAAGTGAAATGGTCAAATTCCAACATGGTTAACTTTGTTTTAAAGGTGAATTAGCTATCCGTTTTTGCACTCAAGACAAAGCACCACTCCTTCTTTGTCCACCTCAGGAATCCCGCTTCAGAAGACCTCCAAACTGTGGAATTAGAAGCCAACCAAAATCTCATTTTTCCCATTTTTCGCTTTTGATGGCTGTGCTTTCACCAAATATTACTCAGAGCTAAGAAGACGAATCAGGCTCAAAACATCCCTATGGAATCTACGAGGTTTAGGCTATCGATTCATATAAATATTGTCCGCTAAAAATGTTTTTTTGATATAGTTAATGGCCTGCGGCACCCCTGCGGCACCCCTGCGGCAGCCGCAGGTTTTGAGGGGGGGTGCCGCAGGCCATTAACTATATCAAAAAAACATTTTTAGCGGACAATATTTATATGAATCGATAGCCTAAACCTCGTAGATTCCATAGGGATGTTTTGAGCCTGATTCGTCTTCTTAGCTCTGAGTAATATTTGGTGAAAGCACAGCCATCAAAAGCGAAAAATGGGAAAAATGAGATTTTGGTTGGCTTCTAATTCCACAGTTTGGAGGTCTTCTGAAGCGGGATTCCTGAGGTGGACAAAGAAGGAGTAGTGCTTTGTCTTGAGTGCAAAAACGGATAGCTAATTCACCTTTAAAACAAAGTTAACCATGTTGGAATTTGACCATTTCACTTAGGTAGCCTAGTATCTTGAATCTTCAGAATTCGCTCACACTTTGTCTACAGGGGGTATTTGACATGCTAATTATGGATATGTTGTCCATTATGTTTGACAGAGCCTTCAGGTAATACTATCTTAAGTGTATAGTTTAGGAGGGGGGTCTTATTAAGACAGCAATCAGGGGGGGGGGGTCGTATCCGACGGTCGAGTGCCGCACCCCCCGCTTTACCCTGGTCTTAACCCGTGACGCTACACACCTTTACTCGCTCGGGCAAAAGCCGCCGCAGGTGATTTGATCGCCAAGTCTTCAACTGTGAATCTTGACTGGCTCTAATCAGATTTCAACGCATTAAAGCAAACATGTCAGAAATGTCCATTTGGACCAGAGTACGCGAGAAATGGCGCTAAGTGTAGACAGAAACTAGTATGCTATATTGCCTATCCTAATAAGGTCTTGCAAGCGAAGAAACCGATTCAGAAGCTATGACGTGGAGGTTTCCTAATATCGCAGACAGTCAACGTGTAGTCCCACAACGCTCTGCTTCCTAGCTTTGGCGGCATACGTCCAGATTCAAAGGCAGCGTCCAGGCAAATCTGGACATATGGGGATCTCAAGTGGATAGTGATTTTGGGGCCCTAACTAAGCCACTGCGCAACCGGCACCTTATGTGGTGCTCTAATGGCTGAGATATTCCCCTCGAAACTGAACCCCAGGATCGTATCGCATGGATTTGTGGCACAACCGATCAGTTTCGCGCGAGGACCCACGCGAAACTGATGCTTGCGCCATGAATCCATGCGAATTACCATACTGGGGTCCAGTTTGGAGGCGTATATCTCAGCCATTAGTCAGTCACCTGCGCTGCCGTTTGGGCAGTGCCTTAGTCAGGGCCCCGAAATTACTTTCCTCGTAATCCATAGGTCCAGATTTGCCTAGACGCTGCCTTTAAATCAAAGACTTCTGTTAGTGTAGCCCGTTTTCGACACTCTCGTTCTCTCTAGGCTGCATTTTCAGATACAGCGGGAAGAATAAGCCTAGGCAAACGGAAATCTTCAATCGGAATTGATCCCGGAGCTTGCTTTCAAGCACAGAGTGGTGAACAGAGCTTTGCGTCCTTACTAATCCGCTTTGACCGAGGGCAACCAACCATTCTGTCGACTATTAGAGCACCTAAGTTCGGCGGCAACCACTCGGTGGAATTGCATTCACATCGCTAAACTTCTCGAGAGGAAGAATAGCTATGGATTTATTATCTATTTTTACAGTCACGAATCTCTTCACTCAGTGCAGAACCAGGCGACAGAGACAATAACAGACGCAGAGCGAAGTGTTGGATTGGCTCTGGGCCAACTAGAGGTGAGAAAAAACTTTTGCTTTATCTACCAATTCGTTGCTTAGGTTCGGCTGTCGTTGTGCTGTTCTTGCTTTTCCATAACTTCGAAGAGAATCTCTTTCGCATTTTAATACCTAGTGATATGTTACCGATGTGTTTTATTGGAATTTGTTTAGCTGCGCAACGAGTACGTGGCCAACCTACCGGGTTCACGTTTTTCGTGGGCTGAACTATGCTTTCTGAGCTCATCATAGCATCCACGCTATTCGTAAACGGCTGTGCTGTACTTAACTTCAAATTGTACGTGAATTTTTTATTTTTTTATTTTTTCGTTAGATTATTTCGACCATATTTTACTTTATTAGCTAGACTATCTCGAGAGTTCTTCTTTTTAGCTTTTTATTTAGACTAGGTAGTCCCTATTCAGCAATTTGGAACAAAGTGGTCCATCACTGCTTTCACTTTGAACATTTAGGAATAAGAGGAACCAAGACTTCAGCAACTTCGTCGTCGAAAGTGAAGTGAAGACGGTCGGCGACAAAGTTCGCGAATTTCTACTATCACTCCAATACTTCCGCGTAATTATCGCCTTTTGGAACGTGTTCATCATCTTTCTTATGCTTGTGTAAGTGTTTTTTTTTTGTTGCTGCAACAATAATCAGTTTTTTTACCTCTGTTTTTAGTTTCTTCTCTCATTAAATATGTCGTCGGATATCACAAACCAAATTTCTGCAGGCATGGATTTTCTTAGTTCTGCAGACTTAATACTAAAGGTTAGCTGATGAGTGTTGAATCAGGCAAACACCCTATCCTACTTGTAGAAAACGCTAACAACTGTTCCCTCCGGTCGGCCTCGTCGTAGACGTCCAAGCAAGGATAAAGGAGAGACCAAAGAGGTAATTGGAAACTTCTCCCATAGGCCTCGGGCAGAGTTCACGCGATTTTATCGTTGCGATTCATCGCGACAAGACAACTGTAACAATATCATTGCATGCCGATTCTTGCATTTCGGTTGTAATAGTTTTCTAACTAAACAACTAATCGTGACTAACTATCACAACGAAATACCAGAAGATCGGCACGCAATGAATTCGTAACACTTGTCTGTCGACGATGAATCGCGACATGAAGTCGCTTGAACTCTGCCCGAGACCATATATGGGTACTGTACTTCTTTTGTTCATGTGTTCAATTTCAGGACGTTGATGAGGACGATCAATATATTAGTGGCATACTACAAGAATTACGCGTTGAGCTCGATGTGAAGCGAAGAGAAGAAGAAAGGCTGCAGCGAGAAATCGCTGATGTGCTGACTGAGTGCGCTTCAGGTATGCATTCGGAATCACATTATTGAAGTTTTCTTCATTTTGCCGATGAACTTAGTGTTCAGGAAGTTCCGGGGGCGAGCAAAGTCGGGCTTTCGGTATGGCTGTGTCACGGTTGAATAATGCCATGCTGGTGGTGGAAGCTGATGCGAAACAGCTTGCAGCAAGCTTGCGGACTATTTCCAGGCTAGCCGATAACATTAGCGGGAAGGTTAGCCAATTTTATTTCTTATTTTTGTAGGGCTTCGATTATGGCCATACCTGTTTTCGGCTCTTAAATTCGAAATCTAGAAACTGACCTTCTCTAGGTTTCCGCACTTGATGTCGCGAAAACTCGAGTTGTTGAGTGCCTTCAGCTTGCGGGTGATATGCATGATTTAGGTGAGTTTTTTTGAATTCAACCTTTTTGTCCTTTTTTGGAAGCGGTTTCCTATGTAAACATTCTAGGCGTCTGCAGCGAAGAAGTGGATCAGTGCATAAATAATGAAGATTATGAACAGGCAGCGCAGCACATACACCGGTTTCTTACTTTGGATAGGGCTGTTTTCCAATTTAGTAGTGCAGCTGACAAAGGTGAGATATTTTTGTTGTGATTGCGTTATAGCAACATGTGAGGATGGTCTATTTTTCAGAAGCTGGCCAGTCAGTATCTCATAGCTACGAAATTCTAACTAATGCGACAGCTCGTTTGAAGGAGATTCTTGAACGCAAGCTAGAGGCAGCAGTGGATACTGATGATGTTGCTGCTATGCAACGGTAACCTTGAAAGTCTTTTCTTTCTCTATGGTTTATACTAAATGCTTTTTTAGGTTTGTCAAGCTGTTCCCACTAATAAACGAACATGACAGTGGCTTAGTTCGCTTCGGCAAGTATCTGAGTCGGCAGATCGCCAAAATCGGCGAGGACAATCTGAAGGTTGTCATTCCTTTTTTGCTTCCCGTGATTTTGGTTCTACAGTCCTGAGCTTTCTTCACTTATAAGCTTGTGCTTTTTAGATCATGAATGCTGGTGGCTTAGATGATAAGAGAGTTGAAGTGCTGTACGCTGACACTATGTTTTTGTTCCTTGAAGGTGGATTTTCCGGATTTGACGTTGCAGTATTTGAGACAGATTCCATTTATGCTCTAATTTTCTTTTCATTGAATAATTTTACTGGGCAAATTCAGCCATCTCTTCCGATGATAACTTTTGAAGCATTTTGTGCGATCTCCACACTTTTGACAGAGTCGCCTATTTTTTTTAATAGTTTGCCAACAGTTCTCTGCGCATAGCATCTATAGCCGTCCATGTATAATCAATCCTTCGACTCAGTTTGGCATATTGTACTTGCTGAATCACTTGCAGTACTTGCATAATGCATCGTGCACTCAAATAACGTTCGAAAAACACTTTACAGGAGTCGCTGCTCTTCTTGAAACAAATCAACCACTCATAGAGAGCTCGTATGGACCCGACAAATTGCTGGATTTCGTCAACATGCTCCAGGTATTCATATCTCTATCTTTTAAGATTTTTTTGTGAACTCGATGCTTTCAGGTAGATATCGATCAGGTCGTTGGCAAGGTTATTGACGCATTCGAAAGGAAGCGACAGCTAGAAAAGCGTGTGAGAGCGGCTCAGAAGATTCTACGGGACGACAAGAATGTTGATAAAGGTGAAGGTAAAATAGCTGATAATCGAAAAATTGGATTATCTCAATTTAATCCATATTTTGCTCATCTAGAGCGCCTTGATGCTCTTGAACTAGACCCTGTACTTTCTGAAATCTGTCTGATGAATACTCACACTGAAATGTATTGGCGGTTTGTTAGAAGGCGTATAAAGGGAGCTTCTAAAGGTGAAAAGCAGGAGGAGGTAGGTTGAATAACGATGTCTATAACAAAAGTAATACCTCTTTTGAAGTTCGTCATGGTGAATGCCGATGATTTTGGTGATTTGGACGAGGAAAAGAAAAAACAGCTGGAACAGGAGAAAGTGAGAAGGAAAGAAGAAAGGGAAAGAAAGCTTGATCAGCTACTGAACAGGAGTTTGGTCGGATCCAAAATGCAGGTATCCTGATGGTTTCAGTTTTTCTTTCATGTTATCTGGTTTTATCCGTTGTTCACTATCTTCCCTTCTTTCTTTTTTGTGCACAATGTAATTCCTTTCCAAATGCTTTCCATCTGCACAGCCTTTCTTATCGTTTTTTTTTGCAACGTAGACCGATTTTTCGTAGGAGTTGCTCGGTAACTATATCCTTCTCGAGCAATACTATATGGAGGAATGCGTGCGAAAAGCGATAGACATGGATGTCAGGGAAGAAGGTCTATTGAGGTTGGTGAAGTTGACGGATTGCCTCTGGCCTGGCAGAATGTAGGGCAAGCTGATCGCATATATTAAAAGTTTTGTTCCTCTTGCAAAGCGTCAAAGTGAAGTCTAGAAGTAAGCCATTCTTAAATGCTGACTAATGTTTTCTTCAGCTCGGTTGTCGATGATGTTCTCTTCTTGGTTCGTAAGTGCGTAAGACGAGCGACAAGTAGTGGTTCGGTGGACTGCGTTTGTGCTGCTTTGAACAACGGAGTTGCATTATTGGAAACCACCTTTTATCAGTATCTTTTTGGAGCGATACAGGTTAGATTTTTCAATGACATCCATTCCTTTTCCTTTTGGAATGTCTCCCTATTTTATTTTTTTTCTCATGTTATGAATTTGTCCCATTAGAGCGGATATCCCTCCACAAATTTTGCTGCCGAGGCTCTCCAAACAGCACAAAACGCGTACAATGTTATACAGCATGGTTAGCAACCACCTCCATTCACTGTTGATTTTTCGAATCTTCCGCTTTTAGGAAAGGCAACCGAAGCTTCAGCAGACATACAGAAAGAATCTTTCTTGACTGCCACGAATAATGCAAGAGGCACCGCAGATCTCCTTCTGGAACTGAGAAAGGGTCTGGAGCAAGAGTGGCGTAAAACACAGGTAGCGCTGCAGCCACATTAGGTTCAGAACTAAAGTATCATTCATTTTAGCGAAGTGAAATAGAACGTGGTAAACTGGATAATGCTGCCAGCCAACTGACAGATCTGTCCAGAAAAATGCACCATTTGGCGTCCCTTGGGATAGAATCCTTGTGCAAAACCATATTCAGGCCAAAGCTGAAGTCAAGGTACACAAGTTTCTATCCAAATTTGCAATGTCTTTTCTTCATATATACAATTTTATCGATATGGCCGTTATGTACAAGTGCGAATTATTTTTTTTTGGGGGGGGGGGGGAGGACAAGAGTTGGGGGAGGTGTTGGTAGGAAAGCGATTGCGGAATTTCCAGTGAAGAATGAAGTAAGGCTTCCTTCAGTGCAGTCCAAGAAAGCCCGAAAGCGCTCAGAAAAACCCAAGAAAGTCCGAAAAAGCCCAAAAGCCAGAAAGAGCCTGAACGCTCTGTTCCGCGCGCACCTTTTGGCGCTAAAGCATGTGTTTTGATTTCGCAATTGAGTCTTTTTGGTTCATTTTCTGTCGTCTGCACGTCAAAATAATGCCGGAATTCACCAAAAGTTCGTTCCTGGTTTCCGGCTCTTTCTGACGCTTTCGGGTTTTTTGGACTTTTTCGGGCTTTTTTGAACGCTTTTGCGCTTTTCTTGGCGAAATACGACGGGTCCCTTACACTCGATAAAATTCATTGTCTGCAACAAAAATTAAGCCAATCAATAATGAGTTACCTGAGTTTTTGCAACCGTGTAGGCGATTTTTCTTATTCATCCTTTCTGCGTCCATTCGTGTAGGCATATTCCTCGATCTCGATCATTGGGTATTTCATTGGCTCTTGTAGAAGTACTGAGCAACATTTTAGCTGTGATGCTTATGCTGACATCAACCATACTCTAACCGACAACCAACTCGGGGAATTTGAAGCCGTTGACCCTTTCATTGAGCAGTTCAACGCTAATCTCGACAAGCAGATTGCAATATTTGAGCCTGTACTGCACAAGGACAATTTTCAGGTGTGATCTTTTACGCAGAAAATTTCGTTATATGACCGCTATATTCATTTCCGAGGTATGATAAAATTTAGACCCTGCTGTTGACTGTATGCGGTGAAGTGGAGCGGCAGATGGAGCGTGTCATCATGAAATGTACGTTCAACAGATTGGGAGGTTTGCAGCTAGATCGGGAATTCCGCCAGCTAAGTGCATATCTCAGTGGAATCGCTGGCTGGACTGCTAGGGAACGATGTGCTCGCTTGGCGCAGGTAATTTCCTGCCACTTAGATTATCTTTTTCTTTATGATTTCTTTATTTCATAATTTCTCGATCATATTTTTATAGATTGTGGCTTTGCTCAATGTTGAGAATGTCGAGGAAGCTGTGGAACTTCGAGAGGCAACAAAGACTTCCTCGATTGCTCGGATACTCTCTCCATCGGATGCAATCAAAGTTCTTCTACTCAGGACTGACCTGCCTGCAGCTCTTGTCCAGAAGCTCGATTTGTGAATGGCCTGGTTTCGTACACAACTGCAATCTTTTCGGCTTCTAATTTCTTACCTGATGAATGTGATTTGCTCTAAATCAATCCCCAGATTATCGTTGTAATTAAGTGAATAACAATATACGAATGCGGGAGTCCGCGACAAGAGGTGATTTTGCTCTGTTAATGTCTGTGATGGTTAAAACGGAGTTATTGCTGCTTGTTATGAAGTGTTTAATTGATTTCTGAGAGAATAAATTATATTTTTCTGTTATTTTGTTCTCACCAGCTAGTACGACATCATCAATGATGTGAAGAGATGTGTAAGACAGGGAACACTACATCGCTGAAACCATTCGGTGCCGCCTTCGAAAACGTCCTGCGTACCTTTAGAATGGGACGAGATGGAAGTGAAAGTCGACGGCGGGCAACTGCATCACCTTCATCTTGCTGATGACATCGTATTGATAACACCAAACATCACACACAGGCAGAACAAATGCTGGCACAATTTGACGAAGTGTGCGGGAAGATTTGTCTGTGGCTGAACACAACGAAGACTATGTTCATGAGGATCGAAGACTGTCTGGTGGTTCTTTCATCCTCAACGAAACGAATATCACCGGATGCTCAAAGGCACCGTCTAACCAGAGTGGGGGTTGACGAGATTTTGGTTGCATACTAGTGTGGGGCCGCAAAAGATTGCTTTCGGAGCGAGAAATCCGCTCGAAGGAGCAAATCTGGAGCTGCACTCCACCCAGCTGGTCGATCCGCCCACTTGCAGGCTTCCCCTCGCCCGCGCTTGTTGTGGCAGGTTCACCAAGACGGGGAGATTCTTGGGGGTTTGCGGATTTCCATATTCGAAATCAGGGCCTTTAGAAGGCCTGTATAAGGGATCGTTCAGACCGCGCACAAAGGCGCATGAAGGCGCGTGTGAGTGTGTGTGTGTCGAGAGAAACGAGACGAGACGAGACGCGCCTTCGTGCGCCTTCATACGCCTTTGTGCGCGGTCTGAATGATCCCTAAGCGACAAAACATGGAAGTCGAGAATTTGGGTAGACAGCGCCTTCAAGCTATACTACTTAGGTCGGAAAGTCAATATGACAACCGTGACTCGGGAACTGAGGAGAAGGAGGAGACGTGCAACATGGGGAGTATATAGGACGTAGAGAAGAAGAGCAAGAACATGGCTTCGCGCCCACCTCTTCAACTCGACGTTCTTGGTTTTGATATAAACGCATCAGCATGGGCAGTGAGGAAGCAGGATGAACATGAGGTCAGTGAGGGAATGATGTTAGGAGTGGACTGGCTCATGCGCAAGTGAGAGAAGCGATACTAGGTTTGAGCCTACGACAATGAATGAAGGACAAGGACGCCACCACATGTGCCAAACAGAGCAAGATGGTTGGGTCGGATACGTATTTAATGCGTTTTTGACGACAGTCGGTGGACGAGAGCTATAACAGGCTGGATTCACTGGGCTTCAAGCGCAAACGAGGAAGAACGTCCACGCGATGACCAGATATGTTCGCGAAGTCCTCTATCGAAATCCTCCAGAGCGTCCACGCGTTCCTGATACGATACATAAAATTGGGATTGGGGGCATTACTGGTACCCGCTCGTGCAACACGACGATCAAAAGGGACACAGGTGGTATGTGCTTACTGCGTGCTCTAATTCGTCTCTGACTGTGAAATACGCATACAAAATACACAAAAAGAAGTTATTTATAGTGTAAAAACTATACCAAGTTTTCTGTCACTGAACTTTCGAGTAGATTGAGTATTCCTTTCACTTTCACATCAGAAGGCGGCTGCTACAATCATCTGATCTGATGAATGTAGAGGCGATTATCGTTTAGGCAGGAAATGCTTGATAAACACTGAGCTTTTTTTTCATGGAAGTAAACTGCTTCGTATTCAAAGATTCTTATAATTTGATATTTCCATGTAGTTTCAAAAATGATGAAATTATCCCTGATTTTTATATATTGATGATAGGAGCTGTCATAGGAAGACGTCGAATAATCGAAAAGATGAGTATGCGGTGGTATTGGGCAACATGAAGATTCTTTGAGATGCAGTTCGGTAATGATTTAAGACATATGTGCAACACTAAATGTTTACATATTTGCTAATTTTTTGTCAAGTGAGACACAACTGTCTGTAAGGAATCATCAACAATGTTGTTCTAGCACCTATACTTCTGGAAAAAAAAATATTAGCGATTGATTATATTTTGAAGCGTCATAATTCATTACAAAATTATACCTCAGGATGAGACAAGAATCACTGTAAACATTCAACTGATGAAATAGAAGAAGTCAGATAAGAAAATGTTGATCAGTTATGAAAATCGAATGCTGACGTATGACGTTTCGTCGAAATCTGACTAATAATCGAATTGGCGGAGAATTCCTGGACTGGCCAAATTTTTCGCAACCATTTGGTGTCGTAAAACTTGGCGTCTCAACGTTACGTCATCAAAATGATTTGGACACTGATAGCAGACATTTTTGAGAAAATTCTTACTTTTTGTCCAGGTTTTCATAAGTCTTTCACATGAAAAAATGTATCAGATGCATGCAATGTAGAAGCAAAAAGCCTTCTATTTATTATAATGATATTTCTTGCCTCAAAGCATTTTGGCTTTGCACATTACCGATACAGGGACGCATTGGTTTTTGTCACACTGTGCCAACACACGCCTGCGATCTATACGACGCAAGCGAACTGCCCTGTTATGGAGGTCGTCCGGTGCGTTCCCATCCATGTGTCCGGTCCGGCGTCAGTGGGTTATCAATTGAAATCCGTTCCCATTGGCACAAACTTGACCGCTCACATTTTGCGTGCAGCATCAAATTTACTTGCGCATTGATCTTACTGTTAGGCTCCCGCCAGAGTGCCGAAGTTATGCCAGCGCTACGCCAGCATTTCGATCGATACACGTGTATTTCGTTGGGGACGTCAGCTAGCCCCGCCCCAACAAAATACACGTGTATCGATCGAAATGCTGGCGTAGCGCTGGCATAACTTCGGCACTCTGGCGGGAGCCTTAGCATTTTCACAAGGTGATTTCAATGCCGAGAACTAGAACACCACATCTGCTTCGCCGGAAGCTCGCATGTAAACATAGGAATTCGCATCCAGTTTACGCGAATGAAACGATAAAAGTCTTCCTGCCTGCTAAAGTGGAATACTTTTGAATTATGCTACTCCTCACATGAAAGGCAAGAGACTACCCATCATTACTTAACAATAAAGCGGTAGACCGTCTGTCTGTTTGTCTGTCTGTGTGCATATATAGATATCTGTGCCACGAAATTCATAGAGCGGGTTGCAGCGAACATCTTGAGCCAGAATTTTGCATAACGCATGCCACCAGCATATAGGTCCATTATCCAAAAGCATGGGCGGACTCGGGGTGGAGGACTATATGTCGCCGAAAAAGGGCGGTCCTTGCGGTCATTTGCTACAAATACGCACCCTTATACATGCGTGGACATGCGTTCCTGCAGGGAATCCGCGCGGGACTCTTCCAAATCCGGCGACATATGGTCCTCCACCCGCGGACTCGCTGCTGGAACCTACGGAAACTGCGTATCAAACGGGTCCACGGGAGTTCTGTCGTGCAAAACCAGAGCCGTATTTGGACTTTTCACAAAGTCAAGAATATTTGTGACATGTATATTTATAAGCCATTGATTTTAACCCAGAAAAGTGACCGAAAGTCTATTACTTTACGAGAAGCGCGCCAAAAAGTATCGGCTGTGCAAATGTTCAACTTGCCAAGACTTCACCTGATCATTCGTGAAGATTTTTGCGCAGAGATGTAGCCCACGGTGATTATTGTCCTTAAGGTGACTATCAAGCCATGAAAAGTCCAAAAGCCGATTTGAAGGCAGTGGCTCGGCAAATACCTGAAGTTTTTTCGCTTACCTGGGGTAATTCGACACGCTGATTCCAAGAATCCCCTTTTGAGAGCGCGAAAATTGCAAAAACTAGCATTTCCCGGGGCTCATCATTTTGCAATTGGGCGAGTGTAACGCTTCACTTCATGGTTAGAGACGTAGAGTCGTTGCGGGACCAGCATGTTTATAGCATTGCTACATGCCGCCTCTGACGGTCGGAGGGGAATCTCAAGCTCGTCCGAGCGCGTGTAAGAATAGCTTGCGCCCACGGGTTTGGGGGCACTTTTCTAGGCGGTGCAGCATGCTGTGCGTTCGGACGTGCCCTTTTCTCATGACTGGGATTTAACAACCTTCCAAATCAAAATTATGGTATGTTTGGTCTTGCCGATCCACTACCTTTAAATTTGCATTCGTTCTTCTGGGTAAAGTTTCATCCACGCAAAATTACCGATCGCACATGAAAAAGCCTTAAATATGATTAGTTGTTTATACATCATTCGTGATAGTCTGCATGGCACGGTAAGTTTCAATGTCATTATTGCGGAAATGAGTAAGGCATCAGATTCTAGTGGGACCAGCGCGAGCCTCCGCGAAGCAGAGGTGACGCACTGCTCCCAAATACCTTGCTTCAAGAGCTCGGTAGCTTTGAGTGGGAAGGACATGCCAGACGTTTTTTGAGCATTACTGAAATTGCAGTACAGTAGTTCTGTAGTGGGATGCAAATCACATCTCCTGTCAAAAACCCTCAGCTTCTTAAAAAATGAAAAAAAAAGTGGAAAATCGAGGATACTCATCAAGGGATCGTTCGGTACCCGTCCAAACCCGCCCAAATCCGCCCGAATACGTCCGATTCCGCCGAAGCTTGTCGAATGCTTCCGAATCCGCCTGAACGCCGCAAGTGCTAGAGAGTCAGATATGCTTCGAGCTACGCGTGACTAAGATACAGTGGCCGCCAAAAAGTTGCGGGCAAGTCGCCCTCCTTTTTTCATCATTCATTTTCGGATGAAAAACGAGGATGAAATAATGATTGGATTGCATGATGTGGTAGAGCTCCTCAAGAGATACAAACAACACATTGCGCTTTCTGGAAAACTTGTATTCTTAAAATCTTAGAAATCGTTCTCTAAAAAAGTCCGAAAATAGCCGCACCACAATGTCGCGGACAATACCCTATTTTCAGGTGTATAAGCCGCGGGGTGGTCCTAGCCTATATCGCCCAGTCCGAACACATCAAAGGACCTCACAAATAAAGGACCCTACGCCGTGCTGCGTATTGCCTGAAAGAATCGTGCGGCATAAGGATCGCTTCTCGAAACACAATGAAGCGGCTGAGCAGCTGTGGGAAAATTCGAAAAAGTGCGGCT